TTGCAAACTACCTAACTGGGGTCATATGGACTTAACTTAGTGGGGGTCATATGAACCCAGTATTCATTCCTGCCCAGGGCAGGGGGTTGGACTTGATGATCTGCTCAGGTCCCTATGACCCTACATCTATAAATCTGAATTGCTAGTCCCAACTAGTGGAAAAGTCAGTAAATTTTGTACATAGCAAATTATTTGTTTTTCAACAGGTGAATGATGCTGAAAGCACAGTTGCAGTGGAGTTTACTCCTACAATTCCTCACTGTAGTATGGCAACATTAATTGGCTTGTCGATAAAAGTAAAGCTGATCAGATCACTACCTGAAAGGTTTAAGGTGAGTAATAACATCAGCCTTGAAAGGAGAAGGAAGAACATTAAAGAAAAGAAAAACTCCTTAAGGCTTCTCATTCCCTTCTGCTATGAAACAAGGAAAATACTCCAGAAAACTGATTAAGTTACAAGCAGGCACAGTTATTAGTCACTTTATCTTTAGAATAAACTAGACTGAATGGGATCTGTGGTGAGAAATATTATATAACATTTAGTGTTACTGATCCCTGGTGGAAGGGAGATAATACCCTTTTTGTAAAGGGGGGAGATAATACCCTTTTTGTAAAGTCTGAGGGTAAGGAAGAAAGTAATCCACCATGACCAGTCCAAAAGGGGAGTTTACAGCCAAAGTAGGATTAAAATATAGGAGTTTCCAATTAATGGTTTTAGGATCAGATGGCTACGCCATGTCCTTCTCCTAATGAAAGCTTATGCTGCTTTGAATATTGTGGAGGAGGGTCAGATGTGAGATGGTAACTTGCCAAGGACTCCATTTTCTTGTTTCATTATGAGATTGTTTTGGTGGAAATGTTAAATCTTGAACAGTGTGAATGAGATGGGTTTGAACTAATACAGGGGAAAATAGTTTGACAAAACTACTTTAAGTAGCACAGCTAGAACTTATTTTTAAACATTTTAAAGACATTCTTTCCATTGTCTTCCTGACTTCTTATAATATTTGAAACAAGGGAGAAAATGATCAAGAGAGGGAGCAGAACCATGAGACTTACTAAAGCCTAAGTATTGTCAGATGTAAAAAGTAAACTCTTAAAAAAATTGTTTTAATACATGTAGTTGCATGTGATACCAGTGAGTGTGTAGGCATGAGTGCGAAGCTGACATACAGCCCTGATGGGTTTTTTTGAGTGGGACTATAATACTAGATGCTGCTTTCTGAACTGCTGAACTAAAGCATTTTTACTTTGATCTCACTCCACATCTAAGCACCAACCTAGTGCAAGTTAACAGTCTTATAAATAACTGGATTACATTTCATTTTACTTAGGTTGATGTTCACATAACACCAGGGACACACATCTCTGAGCATGCAGGTGAGCTTTTCCCCAGTGCTAAGATATATAAAAAGCGTTCTGCAAAGGTATTTCATTGTTTATAAACCTTGGAAATTAGAGATTAGATCTGAAGGGCACTGAGTGCAGGAGAGCAGACTAGAAGTCAGGGAAGGGTGTTACAGGATTTCATGACCCTCGGCCCAGTATCCATTAAATTCAGCAAAATGGATTGGGATGGTAGCTGAAGAGATGCAGCAAGAAATCAAGGGGTTGACATTTCAATTCTGGTCCCACAATGTGGTTCAGGCAGTTAAACCTACACAAAGCTATAGTGGATGAACTAGGGGTGTGTGGCACTGAGGTCCAATCATCTTGGGAAAAAGTGATGCTCAACTGCTAAGCACAATTCTGTGCACATTCAGCACTACCAGATTGTGAAGAACGTGGGGCCCTGCCTACCATGGCAACAGCCTGTGGAGGAGTCAGCTTGTATGTAAAACAACAATATGTTGCCGTGCTGAGGTACCCTGACCACGTGTTGTGGGACTCTTTCCTTACAGTAAACAAACAGCTTGCTGACAAAGAGCGAGTAGCTGCTGCTTTGGAGAACTCTCATTTGTTGGAAGTGGTGAACCAGTGTTTATCTGCTCGATCTTAACTGCCTGATAAGAAGCTCTGCTTTTCTGATATGGTGGGCTAACTTTGTAAATGAACAGTGCTGCTAGTATTTAGTTGGATATGTATCTATAAGCAAAATAAAACTATTCTAGTTTTGATTTTTATACAAGTGTTCCAGTACTCTTCCAAGAGTTAACCTATGGAAATTAACTTAAGAGTGATAGTGTGTCCAAAATACTGTTAATGTAATATTACAGTTTTATCTTGTCAGCAGAGGATTTTAATATTTATAATATTTAATTCAGGAACAGCAACACAAATGTTTCCCCCTCACAGTACAAAACAAATCATGAAATAAACTAATTATCTTGGCTATGCCCTTCACTGTCTTAAACCAAGGATTATTTATATTCTGGACTTGGGAATGTATTATGCACACTGAGTAATAGTTTCGGTCTCTGTGTTCTTGACACACTAAGGCATTTTCACGTGTTATTTTGCTCATATTAAACTTCAGAAGCTGAGTTTTTTACAGTTCACATTTGCAGACAAATTTGCAGGGCGTTGGGATGCTCATACAGCAATAAACATGCACTTCAAGAAAATAAGCTAGTTTTTTAAAGTAATTTTATATGCATAGTTTTATGGAGTTCTCCTGTAGTTGGTGCATCTAATATGTCATAAAATATTAATCTGAATTACTTGGATTTTGTTGGCAAAAAGGCCTGAGTGACAAACTTACAAAAATGCTTCCTGTTTTGAAGCCTGATGCTGATGTGCTATCAGAAATGAAATAGCAAGTGATCTGAAGAGGCTCTGCATTCATTACAACTCAAGGAAGGGACAAATGTGCCTTCAGACCAGTTCTGGTTCTACCTTGCTGCAATATCTCACTCTCTACCCCTGCAAAGTCTGACAGCATGAAACCTAGAAAGGAGTTTTAAGTTTTATCACAAACCATTTAGAAAAAGGCACAGCCTAATATTTGCCAACATTGACAGAACTAACGTTGAGAATCTATTTACTTTGCTTTCCTATTTGGTAGTAGTTTATATAATGCAGTTCTCAGGCAGAAGCACAGGAGCAGCAGCACCCAGAGATTTTTTTTTTATTATTTGTTAGTGTTATTTTACAATAAAGAACTCATTCTTTGGAGTAAAGGTCAATGTATAGATGCATAATTTGAAGATGTATAAATAGAGTAACAATCTCTAATTAAACGCTATTTAATTAATAAATATAGCTGAGTATCACCTTACACTCTTGTAGTCAGAGTCTGCTATGCTTGGCATGTGTTTTCAAAGATTGTTGCATTGGGGTGAATTCTAGGGTGGTTTTTGTCCTCTTGCTGCTATCTTCAGGTGCCCTATGAGACCTTGCCTTACAACTTCTGGTTAAGAAATTTTCAGAATTCAAAATAGGAAGCTGGAAACCTTTAAATAGAATTTAAATAAATCCAGCTTGATACTGTATAACAACGGCAAATGTTTGTTTCATCTTTGCATCCTAGGTTATACAACATATACTGTAGAAAATACTTCTGCCTTCAAATCAATTCATGTGGAACCCAGTTAACTAGTTTTGGTGGGAAGGGAAGTCAAAACATACGATGTAGTTGCAAAAAACTGTTCAGAGGTCAGTTAACTAAATGAAAAATTTACTGTCAGTTTGCTCTGGATTTTACAGCAGCACTTCTTATTTCTGCACATTAACAGACCAGGGATTTACTCAGTAACCAGAAACTGCAGAAGAGATAGCTGGAGCATCCAGTGCAACTTCTGTGTTTTGCAGAATAAGTCACAACATCATTACCATGCATGTCCTCTTAAACAGTTCTTTCTATCACTGTTGGAATGACTGCTTACTATCTCAAAAAGTGATGACATCCTGAGGAATAGAAAATAAGAACATGACACTTACCATTGACACTTACCAGGAAGGGGGTGGACTTCTGAAAACTTCATATGCATGGATGATTCCAGGGTAGGTTTATTTCTGTGATGATAAAGCATTGAAACAGTCTTTAGGAAACATCTGATGTTCATGTTCTGTGCAAAGACATGTATGTATAAACCTGTGCTTTGGTTTCAAGAACAATCTAAGTGCTGGTAACTCAGTAAATGGCTCTCTTCTGAGTCAGTGCTGAATTTACGCTCCTAGCTGGTGAGGGAGGGAGGCTGTGCTGCTGAATTTACACTTGCAGAACTGGGGTCTGTTTGCTTGCACTTGCTAAAATATCCCTGGGAACATCCTTCAGGGATTAGTGGTAGTCATCTCTGCAAACTAGCAAAATTTCATCCTTGGCATCCTAAAGAATAAGGAATGTATTCAGGTCTGTCTTTACTGGTGTGTCTCTTTAAATACACATATGTAGCTTCTAGTTGGAGGTGCGTGTGTGTGTATGAAAGTAAAATTTTGCTCTTTGCTGAGGTATTTTACCTCACGATAATGCGGGGGGTGTGTATGTGTGTGTGTATTCATAGGCAGAGTGTGATGATATCCTTAAGACAGCTGCTCTTTCTACCACTAAGTATTGGTAATGACTATGACTGACCATTTATGAATATATTTGCAGCACAGTGGTCCTCAACCTTTGCTGGCTCATGGACAGTTATACTGAGCAGGTACTATGCTGTAGGCAGCATCATACTATACCTTCCCTGTCAATCTCTGTCTTGACTATTTCTTGTGGCCAGGAGCATCGTCAGAGAGTTTTGACCATACTTCCTCCAAGCCATGGGTTGGGACTACTGTTGTAGTACACAGCTGTTTGCAGTCATCTTGAGCTAAGAGGCTACATCGATCTGATACAAATAAATATTAAAACTTTAACTGAGAATGTTGCATCTTTAGCCAGAGAGCTAGGAAGAGATGTTCCTCTCACTTTATACCAGGAGCAGAATGCTGTAACCCAGTGGCATGGGGGTACAATCCTTTTGGCAAGTGTGCTGCCATAGCCTCCAGTGCCACTCTAATCCCCTTCATCTGCCTAGTAAGCTGCTCTGCCTCCTTCCCTGTGCACCCCAATGTGCTGCTTTGCTTCCTGCATCCTGCCACTGTGTTGCCTGTCCTCCCCATGATCTGCCATGTGCCACTTGTGGCACCCCTGCTGTGGGTTAGCCACCGCTGCTGTAAACAAACTTACCGAATAGGGGGCAGTCTCAGTTCTTGGGAGTGCTTCCATCTTGCCAAAAACGTTGGGGATATCTTGTGTTTTCTGGTATAGAGAAGCAGGTTCCCAACAAGATGAGGTTTCTTCCTGCACCAGGGCAAGGACAGCATTTTCACTGCTGTCTATTTAAAGGCTAGGACAGGGGTTGTCACCTGGGGGTATGCGTACCCCCAGGTGTACTTAGGTCTTTGGGGGTGTGAGTGGGTGAGTGAGGACAGAGTGTGCCTGGGGCACAGCAGTTGCATCTCCCCCGGTGTGTTCGCCTCTTACTGGGGAGGGGTACACTGGACACCGCTAGCCCCACATAGCATACTGTGGTGCCTCCTCCCCACCACCTCCCCCACCCCAGCTTGCTCTCCTGAGTGGCCACCGCCCTTAGCCAATAGCCAGTGGTGGCTGTTGCATGTATGCTCTCCCCCAGTTTGCGCCCCCCCAACGCTGCTGCTACATGCACCCATGGGGATGTGGGGGGGTTTGCACCCCTGGATCTGCAAGCAGGGCAGGGCAAGCTGGGGCCAGGGCTGTGCTGGGCTATTCCTGGTGGGGCAGGGCTGAGCTGGGGCAGGCAGCACTGGGAGGGGGGTTGGGTCTATGGCAAATTCTGGAGTGGCTGCATCCCCTCCCATAGCCCCCCTGCCAGCGCTGCCACCCACCCAGAGCAGCCAAGCCCACGAGGAAGAGTCCAGTGCTTCCCCAGCCCACCCGGCATGCAGATCCAGGAGCATGCACCCTCCATGCCATCCCGGGGTACGCAGCTCAGTCCCAGGCTCCGCCCGGCCGTGCAGCACTTGCCCCTGCCCATTCCCTCCCTCACCACAGGGGCCTATGGAGGGAAGGGGGCTGCAGCTACTCCAGAATTTGCCATAAGCCCCCCAACCCTCCTCCCAGCGCCACTGCTGCCTTCCCCTAGTGGAGCCTGACCCAGCCCTTACCCACGCAAATCTGGGGGCAGATGCCCCCTGCCCCCCATGGCTTGCGCACAGTGGCAGGAGCCACTGCCCCAACCCAGCTGGGCAGCCCCTGCTCCAGCTCCACTCCCTCCCTCACTGCTGGGACAGCCCAGCCCGCCTGCCCTTTGTGGCTCCGTCCTGTGCCGTGCCCCAGCTGTGCAGTGCCTGCCCCAGCCCCGCTCCCTCCCACACTGCAGGGGCCTCAATCTGCCTCAACCCACTTAAAAACAAGAAAAAAATATACGGGTCACAGAAGCTGAAACTCTAGAGGGGGGACACATTATAAAAGGTTGAAAACCCATGGGCTGGGACATGACCACACAGGCAAGCAACATATTCCAGGTAGGTTGAAGGAACTCTGGAGGACTCAAAGCAGGGTGAGGTAGCTTTCCCACCCCCTTCCCCTGAGCTGCACTGTGCGCTCTGTTGCCACATGGATAATTGCAGGCTGACGTGACAAAATGGTGGTTTGAAAACCTACTCAGTGGCTTTGGCTTGAAACACATGCTGACTGTGTCCTCCGATGGGAGCAGGAGTACGGTACCTTCTCAGGAACTGTCTCTCTGCTACATGATTGAAGCTCAAATACCCAAGTGCGACAGCAGCACAACTCTGGACCAGGTCTACTGAGCTGGAGAGGAGTTGGAATAATACGCCATCTGCATCTATGGAAACCAGAGCAGCACTGATTCCTGGAAGAATGCAGACACAGGTATATACAGCATATATTTGATGTCATCTCCTTCCTCCCAAGGCACACGTCTCAGATACCTATTTTTCCACTTGGAAATGAGTACAGAGGTAGCAGATGTGCTGCTTTTTACCTGCGCAGGTGTGTGCTAAACAGGCCACGCAATCAGCAGCCAAAGCCAGTGCGTGGTGTGTTTGGGAACGTTCCAGTGTATCCACGATGGTTCTGATCCCTATGGCAGCGATATTAGCTGGCTCATTATCTGGAATGATTTGAGACAGATCAATGGACTGCAAGGAAATATTACACAGAAAAAATAACATTCAGTAGAGCTCTACCTCCAGTCACCCTAATGCATCAGTCACCTGAGACTGATATTAGTTGTTAGGCCAACGTATTGTTACTGACTGATCTAAAGAGTTTCATAGCTGAAGGGAGGGATTAAGACAGGCACACTCAGTGTCATAAATCAGAGACACTGGTTTATTTGAACATGATGACGCTAGCTGGTACCCAAGGTAGCACATGCTGCAACTTGCTAAGGTAAACCATCTTCCCCACCTCTCCCAGGGGAAAGGAGAAGGGCTTCTGCCTTGCTTGTGCTTCTTTATAGTATATAAGGGCAAACCGAAAGAGTTTAAGTAGATTTGTACATGTCTTACTGCAAAAAAAGGCGGGGGGAAGGAAAAAAAATGGACTTTAACAAAGAGTCAACATTATGTGGGCTCATAATCCCTCTGCAGAGTAGTCTAAAGATCCCAAACCCAGCTGGAGCCTCTTGTCATTTGAATCACATAAACTACATGCATGCATGTAGTTTAGGGGAGCCTATTGTTTCTAATTAAACTATAACACATAGTTTAATTAGAAACAATAGGCTCCCCTAGCCCATCCTTTTAGAGCCCAGTCCTGCAAATACCAACATGTGGGAGTACCCTTAGTTACATACGTGAGAAGTTTCCTTTAAATGAAGGTTACTGCTAATATCTTGCACAGCTGGGGCCTTACACAGGAATGAAACTCCACGAAGTCACATGCCCCTGCTTTGGAGACCATGTTTTTAAACTGTAAACTTTTAACATTTTTGGATACTAGTCTATTTCCTTTAATTCAGTCCAGAGAAATGTCTGTGCTGGAATAGCTTACCTGGAAAGCAGCCTGTATTCTGTGAATCTCTTTGCTGGATTGCAGGAATAGTTGACAGTGATGCCATCTAACCCCCCCGATCAAATGATTGCTCGCTGCTCACCGACGTTATTGAAAGCAAATGTTGCTAAGGCCCCAGCCGTCAGAAGGCGAATCTCTTCCTCAGATGAATATAGCAGGGGAGGGATGTACCTGTACTGGAAGGCTGAACTCTGGGAAAGTATCTCCAAGTTTTCACTGTCGCCTGAATGAAGAGCAGGAAAAAAACAAGCCATTTATCTTTTCCAACCCCAAATTTCCCAAGAAACTCGTGAATTATGAGCTGGCTCTTATGTGTGACATAACATGTACTGAAAACATAATAAAAGCACTCAGAGTGTAGCTTTGAAATCAGTTGTCATTGGCGGTGTTTATATTATGTGAAAAAGGCCTTCCAAAATTTTAAACAAACTAGGTGAAGTTCTGGTCCCAGTGAAGTCAGCAGGAAGTTTGCCATTAACTTCAGCAGAACTCATGGTAACACCCACTGCTTTCTTTTAATATCTTTATTGTTTATAAAGCAAAGAGAAATGGAAATAAAAGTAGTTTGTTTAAACACAGCCAGAATTCTGGGATTCTGGTAAAAGCGTAGTTGCGTATTACAAAATATGAGTGTTGATGATCTGCTTGAGGGATAAAGGAGGAGCTAGGGGGAAGTTAAAGGGGAAGGGGACAAATAATGTGGAAGGAGAAAGAAACGCTTACGGAGCTCAATAACACCTGCTGTAGAAATAGGCTCTGAACAGCTGAGGAGTGCTCTGGTCCCTTCTGATGACATGCCTTTGCTGGACTGTGCCAGATGCAAGTGTAATGAGTTGTAGCTGCAGAATGCAAGGTGGATTCCAGCTCCCTTTGAGATCCGTGCACTGACTTGAACAGCTGGATACGGCAAACAGATGCCATTACTGTCCATGAGGATCAAGTGATGGTCTGCAGCACTTAGGCAGAGAGTATTTTCACAAAAGCCTCTATCCTTTGAGCTAAAGGGAAGTCTATGAGCTGAGAGCAACCAGCAGAAGGTCAGCCATTGGCGCCACCCCCTGTAGGCTGATGTGGTCAAATGAACCGAATCAGCATGCAACCAAAAGGGCTGAGGACAGTACTAACTGCTAGACATGAGTTTTAAGGCAGTCAGTCATCTCATTAGAGACAGTTTAGATTATTCAAAGTAATGTTTGGGGCTTTTTTTCTAGAAGCAAATTAACCATTCATTGGTCAGATAAGTGAAGTAACTGGCATGCAGTTAACAAAATGAAATACATAAAGCAAAGAGTCTAGAGACAAACTGTTGGCCTGCCAAAACTGAATTGCACCACAACCGTGGGATTACAAGTTTCTATGCAACCTGTAAAA